AAAAAAAAATAGTAAAAAAAAAATAATGAATTACCGGGCTCACGCCGTCCCCACCGGCCCCTTGGCGACCAGCTCCCGGCGGGGCTCCGGCGTCGGTGAGCCCGTGTTGCTCTCGGAATCGCGAAATGGGCGAAACGACGACGAGTCAAGAAGCCCGACTCGCAGAGGAGAGAGAGAGAGAGGAGAAAAAAAAAATTACGGAGCAAGGTTTAAAACAGGGTCCCCCTCCGACCCCCGGCTTTCTCTGCGGGCTGTGCGGGGCTCCGTCTCCCCCTTGCCTCCGTGATCCGCGTGCCGAGCTCGCTCCGGCGCGGGTGCCCTCTCTCCCCGGCGCGAATCGGGGGGTTCTCTTTCTTTCCGTTGTTTCAGGGAGAGCGACGGTCGGAAAATGGCGGCTCGCCTCCTCTCCCTCGGATCTCTGAGTCTGACAAAACAGAAACGGAGAAGAGTAGTCGAGCCGCGGCGGGAGACATTCCTCATACTGGCCGCTAGAGCGACGAAGAGCTTTCGGGGGCTCGTGGGGGGGGGGGGAGGAAACTGCGCCCGCGGCCGCTAGAGGGCGCCTTCCGTCGGCGAGCGACGGGGGATCGGGAGGGGGGAGGAGGAGGAGGAAACTGCGCTCCGGTGGCCGCCATCTTGGCTCAAAATGGCGGCCCCGCCACCCTCCCGGACAGCAAGGATCAAGGACCGCGGTGCCTTCGCGGCTCCGGCTGCACCACCCTGGGCTGCCAACTTTCGTGACGCTCGCTAGGGGGGTTCAGTGGTTTCGCAGAGGCCCGACCGGCCCTGCAATGTTTTAAAGGGCTTTGCTCCGAAAGTGCCGGCCGAGGGAGGGGAACTGGAGGAGGAGGAGGACGAGGCGGGGTCGTGCTCTCTTCAGAAAGGCGCGGGTTATGTGGCGTAACGGAAGGGTGCTTTTCGTGTTTAGACGCAAAGGAACTACAAGTGAATGAAATGAAACTTCCACGGGCTGGCTGCGGGTATGCGAGAGCTGATAACGTCCCGGTGGACGAGGGGGGGGGGAGAGACCGAACAGAGACCCTGCTCTGCGCCACTAGAGGGAACTCGCCGCCATTACCGCAGCGGCAAAGGCGAAGCCACCAGCCAAGCGCCAATGAACGGCAAGCGGCGGCTGAGGGGGGCGGAGCGAGGACCCCGCCTGTGGGCTGCACGCTCTTGAGTGGGCACAGCCCCGCCGGCCCTCCCGGCTGCTGCTTTACGACACACGGGCGGAGGGAGCGGAGCTTCGCCCCTGACCCAGGCTGCCGCTGCTGGGGGGGGGGCTCCCGTGGAGCAAACTGCGTGGTCTCCCTCTCCACCCTGCCCCGAGACGAGTTTTCAATGCCCGCTGCTGGCCCGGGCGCGTCACGCAAGTGCAGGGGCGCGGGTCCGCCCTCCAGCCCGGCGTGGCGCAGTGCTCTCCCACACGCACACACGCGCGCTTGCGAGGCGCCCCCTGCCGGCCGCACGGCGCCCCTGCAGGCGGGAGGAAAACACGTTACACAACGCGGACCCGTCTCGCCGGCCGCTGGTCGCTGGGGCGGCCTGTCCTGGCGGTATCATGGACGCATCAGTCCAAAGCAGGCACAGACGCCCACTGTACCCCCCCCCCAAAATAAAGACACTATCTTTCAACAGCCAGTGACGCATTAAGAAGCGCCTCCCGCTAGAGACGCACCATGACAACGCCTCCCAGAATCACATTTTTACTCTCGGAAAGTTGGGAGCTTCGAGAATAAGAAACGCGATGCTTTTTATTCGAGAAGGAGGGAGCGGGGTTCTGGCCCAGGAGCAGACTCTCCCTCCGCCACGAGGGCTAGATCGCGAACACGGGTGTCATTGTTCTGCGAACGCGACACAAAACATCCTCCACCCCGCCCCCCCCCCGACGCGCAGCCATTAGACTAAGCTGACGTCAGCACCTGTTTCAGGAGCTCTCCGCTGCGGATCCCTCCCATCTGGGGCCACAGCGCCCCCTGGCGCTCCCATAACGCAAAGGCAGTCTCACGGATATGACAGTAAGGTGACGGTGGCGCTCCGATTGCCAATTGCGCCCGACTTTAATCAACTCAAAAATGCTGCTGTGCTGTCCGTACATAAAAACACACCTATGCTTTAATGCATCATCCTGCAGAACTCAACCATATTCAACTGCACTGAAGCAAGTCCCACTCCTGTTGCAACATTTAATTATTGTAACACTCCTGTTGCAAATTATTATTTTTTTACTAATAGAACACCATCATTTGGATATATGTAGATCTCTTTCATTTTTTTCTTTACAGCTCCAATCGGTTCTGAGTATTTTTAGATCAACGAGAATGAATGCTTGGCTGCTCGGACTTCGGATGCGGCATTAACAGAGTCCCCGAAAAAAAGACGTACAAATAGTAGTAGTTGGTGCAGAGTAGCACAACAAATGTAAGCAATACTACCTGCAAATATATATAGAAGGGGTCCCCAACAGGGAAATGCAGTCCTGGATGAGGAGGGCTGGTGTGAACATGAGATCAGCTCACTGACCTAAATTAGCCCATTATTGGCTTAATATGAGCAATTAAACAATTTCAGGTGCTGGGGTCTCAAAGAGATCTATAGAACCTGGAGAAACAGCAATCTAGACATGCACTTGACTGTAATGGGGGGGGTGATTTAAATTTCTAGGGGGGGGAGGGAAACTTAGTTCTGCTGACAGGGGATTCAGATGTTTTCTGGCCTCTGGCATTCTGCTGGCGCTCAGACACGTGTCAGAAGGAATGGAGTTAAATGACTGCAATAGGCCGGCCGATTCGTTCTCCGAGCAGGAACACAGACGTGGACAGCAGACCCAGGTGCGCTTTGTACTCGAGGGGCACGGGCACTTGCTTGGGCCAAGCAGATCAGATCAAGGTAAAGCGCTATCGAGATGAAAACTTAACTCCAAATCATTCTGTAAAAAAGGACAAACTCTGTGACCTGGAAATTAGATCTAATATGTACACACGCGATGGTTTCCATAAGTACAATCATCTAAGCATTTAAACTAGAATTTAAAAGTTGCATGTAGTTACAGTGTGAAAAGAACCAGCACTTAAGAACTTACCTGTGAAGCTTTGGGTTCATATTTTCATGGCCCCTTAGCAAATACAAGGCCTTTTCCAAGAAGGTTTTCCCAGGCCAACCCATCTCGCCAGGCAATAAATCCACGGATCCTGATGGAACCAAATTTCCTAAGATCGCGGAAAGGAAAGAGAGTTTCAGTTTTGAAGTCACAGGAATGCTGTCACAACTTGTTACCATCAGTGATGAGGCAAACTGCAAGCTGCAAACGTTAGATAAATCAGGACCACCTGAATCTTGTACTATGGTTTCAATTCAGTATCATATCCATTCTTTCTTGTGCACACATGGGGATGAACAGATCGCCAAGCCCAGCCCTGTTCAGATACATGTGTCAGAACAGCCGAGAGATGTCCACTCCAGCAAAATCAATACTGTACATATTTTGGCCAGGATTTAACACCATTCAGGTTCAATCTGTATGAAAAGAAGTCACAGAAATATCCACAAAATTGGTTTCTGCAAACCATGAGCAATGATGAAAGCCTTTATCATAGAGCACCCTGTGCAGAAACTTCCCATAAAAAAACCTCTCCATGGATAACGCTTATTATACCTGTTCAGTTCTCTTCATCTGTCCTCTCAAAACAGCATTACTGAGAAATGACATTTTTACTGCAGTTTGAAGCTCTTATTTTATTTGCTGTTTTTATCTGAAGATTCTCTCACTTGTTTTGTTTTTTCAGAGGTACAAACAATATTTTTTGTTTCGATGTATCACTCCTGTTGTGCAAATATGAAAGAGGTGGGATCATATTCCTGGTTATACTGGTGTGGCTGTTGTGAAGTTGCTAAGGCCTCTATTACTTTAATTTTCTCAAATCAAAGTTCCACAATTCTTTCAGATAATCTACGATGATCACACTTATTGGCCTCTGGCCTCAAATACATTTTCAAATGAAATTAACTACTTTCTCGTTAGTCTATTAATACGTTAATTTTAATTTAGACTACTATTTGCATCACACAAACAGTACTACACTTGCAGTAATATAATTGGACGAAAATGTGTACGTTCACAAACTGTAACACCTATATATTTAATACTGTGCAATGAATGAAACCGTACCAATTATGAAAACATTGTAAATATCGAAAATAATTAAAGGTGCCTAAAACGAATGTTTAAACGACTTCGTGACGATAACACGCAAGACATAATATCTATAAATATTACACTGTATTTAGAAAAAAAAACAAATATAACAATAATTTATAAAAGAAACATCAAAACGTAGAAATAAGCGTCGCATTTGTATTTTAAAAAGTCAAAACAACTGAATAAAAGAACGTATTATATACCCGTGGTTACAGTCTTAGTTGTATTCTTTTAATAATATTCATAACTACTGGTTAACGAATTTCTTACGAGCTCTATTTTGAAATTAGGAAACTGTGCCAGGTAAAGTGCTTCTTTTTGTTGGCCTTATGCTTTTCTTTACAATTTCAGATCATCTTCATCATTATCCTCCTCCTCCTCCTCATAACAGGAAATAATGATCGTCCAAGTTTGAAAATAATTCCGTACTTACTTGTTCAAGACCCTGGAATTTATGCCTGACACTAAGAACTCCTTACGCTTGTGAGTTAACATCGTTCATTCTTGCACAAAATAATGCTACACCGTTAGTACATCTGGCCTGTGCGTCCAGCTTTTTCTCCAAATATTGGCTTTACTGCTTTCACAACAGTGTATTTTGTCATTAAACTTGACAGATCTTGCGCAGAATGTCGATATTGTACATGTTTTCTCGTTCATTTACTCCAGCAAAAGTTTCATTTCTTTGTAATGATTCATTGTCTGGACATTATTTGTACTGCTGTACACTAAACCACTATTTTGGCCTGTTGACTGTTACCAGAGCAAAGAACTCTCTTTATGCAATGCTGTGCAATTTTAATTCAGCTATCCTACGTACACAAAACCTGACCCTGCCTTACCCTTGTCGTTATCTTTAGTAACAGCAAACGTTTTGTTTCACAGTGTTTCTTAAAAACCCTTATTTTTTTAAAACAATATATCTTGAATCTGCAATCCATGTTCACTTACCTGCACAATTCAACCAGCCTTGAAGCGAAATCGCCCACCCTCTGTGCTTTCTGATTGGACAACGCAGCGAGAGCGGACAGTCTATTGGTAGGTAGGGCTGTCATTCGTTTCGGAGAGGCGTATGATGGAAAGTGTCTTGAATTGAAGTTTGCAGGACTTTTGTTTTCGCAAATGAGAAAGCATGGGTGTTGTTTAACGGGGTAACCCAGAATTTTAACAACACTGTCATTCGTACACTGCACTGTCTTCCTGCCCACAGCATCACAGTGCCTGGTGGATTTTAAGCACGATTCAACTGTTTTCATTGTCGTTCCTGTTACACTCTCTAACTGTACCGTCATAGTGCGAGAGCATTAACACCATTTTTGGGGTACTCGTCTGTGAATTTGGCTTCATTAACTGATACCCTCAGGGTTAGAGGAGTGTTGAGCAGAAAAGGCAACATGTACTATGCTTTATATGTGATGAGACAAATACATTGACAGAAATCAAGCCATCTTTTTAAAATTCAAAACAACTCCCGTGTGTTTTGAAAGGGATTAAGACTGTTTTGTGGAGACCTCAGGGTAATTATATTCCACTTACATAAAACATATTACTATTATTCTGTACTGCAGCATCAACTCTAAGCTTTTTGGTAACTGAAAATAGAGACAGGAGCTATCCAAATTGTGTATGAACACTAAACCCCAGGATCAGAGAAGAAGCCTTTATTAATAGCTGAAGGAAATCCACCACTTTTGTGTTGGGGCTTACATACACCACGCTAGCTTTTCAATTTGCTAGAGCAGGGATTACCAAATGAGATCTTCAGGGTTATTTTGTTTCATTAAGTTGTAAAGAGCTCTTCACCTGGAAGATGTGTTAAATTAGTTCAGGTGGGGAGCTGCGTCAGCATGCATCGGCTGCAAAGGAACAAGTATTGGGTTTATTCCCTGCTTAAAAGAGAAGAAAGAAAACATCGATTTTGGCTGTGGCTGTCCCGAAGAAGGCTCCACAGCCGAAACGTTGTTTTCTTTCTTCTCTTTTCAGCAGGGAATAAACCTGTTACTTTTTCCAGATGTGTTAAATGTTCCAAATGAAACTGTA